GAACCAAAAACATTTGCACACCCATCCAGCTTTGAGGCCAAACAATTGTTGGATTGGACGCCACCAAGATCAATTTTAAGTACAGAGCAGGCTTTTGCAAACAAATGGCATACCAGTATAGCGTTATGCCCATGAAACTTGCGATCATTTCCTGTAGCTGCAATAGAACACAATTAAGATTTCTGCTCGAGGGGATCATGACCATGATCAGTGCTCTTAGAGATGCAGGGCTTGAAACTATAAAATAGATAAAGATAAAACATTGACAGGTTTCCTTTCATGGATTGGTAAGACAAACGACATTTAAAAATTAAAATTAAAGAACTCATAACAAAACAGAATAAAAACTGAAGCATAACAAAAGGTTTAATGATGTATAACCGTGAAGAAATGAATGAAAACATGAAAAAAGTAGTTCAACTTACAAATTTAATTGAGGTTTGTTTCTATTTGGTTATTGAACTTTCCAAACGACAAACTTGGTCCCTAAACTTTGATATTTTTCAAAATCCACGTATCTAAGAAATACAAAATCGAAAGTTCAGAGTTTCATTAGACATAAAGTTCCTAATTTATATGATCAATTAATTTTTTTAAATTTCAAATTTGTTAGGTACCTTCTAGATTAGAGTAAAAGTTTAGGGACCTGTTGGACAAAAAATTAAAAAGCGTAGGGACCAAATAGACACATGAGGTACTAAACTTATAATTTAACCAAGTAAAAAAAATATGTGGACAAGGTGACAAACCTTCAACTGGAATGTCCAAATCAATAGGTGCAAAATAATGATTCTTCAAGTAAGAAAGAGCTGAAGCTATACTGGTCGGCTTGCTGAGGCCACCGATCTTGCTGATCAAATGCTTTACATCGAGCACTCTCGGGAAAACCAAATGCAAAGAGGACGCAAACTCATCTATGCCAGTAGGAAGGGGAGCAAGGAATTTAGAATGAACAAATGCAAAATCTGCATCCAAAAAGAAAGCATTAGAATAAAAACTAGAGAACAAAAGAAAAATAAAGCAAAGAGATCAACAAAAAATAAAGAATATATGAGATAAACACCATTAAGAGAATTGTAGGAGACGATAGGCTTCTGTGAAGCAGAAATGATATCTACCACCTCTCGAAAACCACGAAATTTCTTGTTTTCTTCCTCTTCAAGATTTTGAAGCTCCTTCTGAACAGTCAACAAAATATCATTCAGTTAACCCATCAGTCTAATACATCGAAGCACAAACTTTCAATTTTTTGGAAATTAAAACCTTATTTCCATTACGAACCATTTCTTCATCTTAGTTTTAAAAAATAAGACATTTTTAATTATGCATTGGATAGGTGGGTTGAAAATGATGAAAAAAATCAACTGAAGTACATAAACTTCTTCAAAGAGCTAGCTAAAGAATCAATAGTTTAGGAACTTAGAAAGTGGAAATCCAGTGAAATATGTACTGGTACCTCAAGCAGAATCTTGTCTTCTTTTGAGCTTGTCCAAATGGCACGAATTGCTTGAGTTCCTCCACCCTTAGTTGGAATTACTACAGGAACCAGGTCATCAGAAAACTCACTCAACAGCTACATCAAATAGAAAAAAGAATATAAGTCTACATATAAACTCTCTCTACAGAAAAAGTAGCAAAGATAAGTACATTGTTCTGCTGGCAGGAGTCTAGATCACTACCACATTTAAAAAAGATAACACTGAGGTTAAATTTGAATTCCTATACTCACTCTTAAATTTAGTCATCTCAGAACCATAAAACTTTGAAGTCAAGTCATTCAATAGACAATCATAAAAGTCGACTTACTAAATCAGTAATTTTACCTTAAATTATGTATAACACACATGATAAGCTATCATATTTAAACAGTGTGCAATATATATGTAAAGTTACTAAAAATAAGAACATAAATAAAAATGAACAATGATCTATAATTCTTAGCTTACGCAAGAAAAATACCAGAGATCCATTATTTATCATGTTTTAGCTACTGCCCAGCAAAAAGATGCACTTTTGTATGAAATACCATAATGAGTTTGCTCTGGAAGGGTTCTGGAAGTCTACGATGTACATGATAAATTACTATATTTTAAGAACAGCAATACACATTTAAAAATCAATCATAAGATGAAAAGATCAAGTTACCTCTAAAACAAGTAGAACTTGACGTTCACTACAAACATCTATAGTCATGGATGGTCTTGATCCATACTCCTCGCTGCCAATGATGAGCTTTTTCAACGAACTTAGCAGAGCGTCTATATTATGGAAACATTACCTTTACTATTTCAGGAGACATGGAAATAAAAAGAGGTTAAAAAACACTTTTAGTCCACAACCTTCCATAAAAGTAAGGATTTAATTCTTGGACTTTAGGTTGTAACAATTTAACACCTACTACAAAAATCTCATCAAATTAAATGTTAATTTTTATTAGGAAACAATTATTCTCTATAGTTTATGAACATATTTGTTAACAATATCAAAATCTACAGAGGGAAGAAAACTCAATAAATTTTAACAATATTTTTCATGATAGAGAAAATTTAAAGCACAATATAGGGAATGAGTTGTTGTATGCTAGAGTTCAAGGACTAAATTTTTACAAGTTCGAAATAATATGGATCAAATCATTTCAAACTAAGGTTCAGGGATTATTACTTAGATAAAAGTTCAAGGACCAAAAGTGTTCGTTAACCAAAATATTTTTAAAATGTGACCGCAAAATGGAAAAAAAAGAGTGGAAAGAAAAGACCATGAAGAAATTGTTTTAGAAAGCAATAGTAGGCCGTAACTTACCATTTGTTTTTGTGCTTGAATTACATGCATCTTTCCAGTTCTTTACCCGTGATTTAACCCGTTGAACAAAAACTGAATCAGCAATTGTCTGTCTAGAAGAAGATTTCACATCATAAGTACTAGGTGTTAGAATCGGACGGCCTATTCGAACTTTTGCTATGGACTCTTGAGCTCTAGATAAGTATGATATGCCTGAAACCAACAAGAGGAGAAAGACTATTAAAAGTCAAACTACAGTATCAGATGATAGATTCAGTATAAACAATATTCAATTTAATTTTTCCCAAAAATCAAGCGGCAAAACAGCCAGAAAGCGATAAATAATTTTTAGGTTGATAAAAATTACCAGAAACAAAAAGGTCTTCAGCAATCCACTAATAAAAATTTGTAAGGCTGGCGTTCAATTGTATAATTTCTATATGAGCCATATGAATCCCAAAACAAGATGGGTGTGTATAACCCTTCTAGATATAGGGAGAGATGATTTTTTGGAAGCGTTGGGTCGCCTTTTCAGCATTTTTTTCTACCTAGCTTGGGAACTTAGTTTTAGAGACTTGGGAACTTAATTTCTTCTCTTGAGCTGGATAATGGAAACAGAACTTCAAGAGACAGTGAGATTGAGAAATAAATTATGGATTTTTTTTCTTTCCTGTGAATTCCACTCAAAATCATCCTTTGCTCTTGTTGAAACCTTACAACGAAGGTGGTTTAGAGACTGGAAATCTGGGTTGCAAAATTACTCTTCTATAACTAGCTATGGTGTCTGTCGCAAATCTCAAGTCTTGAGGTCAGTGAGTGAGAAACCGAAGTAAATAGTCCACAATAAGGCTTACCATCATATATGCAAGCATCAAAGTCAAAACCTTCATGAGCCATGGATGTTAGATGTGAAACTTGACATGAAAAACTGTAAGAAGGCATCCCAATGTTCAGATCATCTCTGGGGAACAAATGAAAGTTGTACCTATACCATTGAAGGAAACGTAGCTGATCAGTGACGGCAGGGAAACACATGAAATAGAACGCTAGTGCTTTGATCTGCAGCCGTAATTCACAGGCAAAAAACACGAATTACAGATGGTACTGCCATGACCTAAGATGCAAGTAACAGGAAGGCATGTATCATGCAAAATAATTATAAGCAATCAAATTTGTATCACTCATCAAACAAGAGACCTCGAGTTTAGAATTTCAAATAATGATGAACAGGCAACCCATAAGTAAAAACCATTGTCGAAACATCAGCCAGAAGCCATCAAATTTCCCGTTACCACCTTCCATTACAAATTCTACCCATATGACAATAATGAAAAAGATTTACTACATATCCCTACTCTAGATTCCAATGAAAGAAATGTCGTTCAATTCTAATTTCCATCGCTTTCAACATCTACTACGTATCAAGAAGCATCCAAATCCATACAAAGTAAAGAAAAATGAAATCAGTAACATAAAGAAACTCCCAATCCCCGACCCCCGCCCCAACGTACAAACGAAGAGAAGCGGCGGCGGGACTTACGGATGGGCGATTAGCTTGGATTCCCTAACAGAGAAGGGGCATAGAGCGAATTGAAGGATCTGAAACTTCTCGGCGGCGTACTTGGCCTTGCAATAGGCGGTATCGTAGGTGTCGAAGGACTGAAGGCGGTGCCAAGGAAAGGAAGAAGAGCCGGTGTTCTGCAAAGAGAGGGCGATGAAGTCGGAGTCGGAGATGTGGTTCTTCAGGTCCCCCAAGCAGCCATAGAAGTCGGAGTTGCGAATTTGCCTAACGCTTAGTTGATTGGTGGCAATATGCAGGCGGCGTCTCTGCAACTGGAGAGATGAGAACCGAGACGCCATAGTTTCCCGTTACGCTCTCATTCAAAATTCACGGTGGAAGTGCCCAAACGAGTATTACTTCTCTATTATATATGCAGAGCCGTGGTTGTTATAATAATAATAATAATAATAATAATAATAGTAATAAATAAATAAATAATAATAATAATAATTGTCGCCGCTGTCTTTCTTCCGTGCCGGCTCCTCCTCCTTTTGAGCAGCTCAGTGTCACCGCCGTCGCCGCCGTCTTTCTTCCGTGCTACTCCCGGCGGCTTGCACCGATTTCTCGTTGTTACTGGTAAAAGAAAAAAAAAAAAGTTTAAAAACTTAGCTTGAGGGCAGTTTAGTAATTTGACCATATATTTCTAGCTAAGTTTCTTTGGCGTCCGCGTTGAATCATAACACCAATTTCTCTCCCTCGCCGTCGTCGTCTTCTCCCGCTCATTTTGATTTTCCTGCATTTTCCCCACTAATTCGGTCTCATGATCAAGCTTCAATATCAGAAGGTTTAAGTGTTTTAATCATCTTCTGTTTTATTGGTGAGCTTTCATTTACTTTCCCCTAAAAATTTGAGATTCTTTTTGCTTTCCCTTTTTTTTCCTCCGTTTTTTGATGTTTGAATTTGCTTATCGTTTCTCTTTGTTCCCCAGATTTGTTACTTTTTCTCTGGAGTTGGAAGGTTTTCGGTTTCTTCGTACTATTTTGTGGAGTAGGAAGTAAACCCAGTTTATTTTGCTGAATACTGTTTTTTTTTTTGGTGTAATTTTGCTTGAATGTTTGGGTTGACTCGATTTGGTCAAAGAGAAGATTGTCCTTGTGGCGGCTTGAAATTTATTTTTGTTATTTCAGGCAGAAATTGTGGTTAATTCTTCTTTCAATGGAATCTTGGTTGCCACTGAGAGGTTTTTTGCTCGAACTATTGTAGCTTTTGCATTTAAAGACACAATTTCAAAACTTACTTTAATTAGAGAAAAAGAAAATATAAGGATAGGTTTTTTCGGGGAAATTTCTGTGTAGACATTTCTTTGGGTCAGTGTTTGTTTTTGCCGACTCCCTCGACGTTTAGGCCTCCCTTTTGTGTCTGTGTATGAGAGATCTCATTAGTTATCCTTGCTGGGTTTTTTGGTATATTTATTTTGTTTCTCATTGTTTTTGGGGATCACGTTTTGCTGAATGATTTATTTTCGAATGTCTTTTTCATTGATGAACTTCTTGGCAATTGAGCTGCTATCAGTTTCAATTGGTTTGCTTTGTCTGGATGCTCTGGTTTTGTAGGATCTCTCGTTTTAATTCTTTATTTCTCGATCTTTCTGTTTCTTTTTTTCTATTTTCTGGGTCTCAGAGTTTACTTCAGACATATTTTTGTAAGAGTGGTGTATTCTTTTCAACAACTGAAGCAGATTTTTCATTTTTCTTTTCTACATGTAGTACGTGATCATTTGTTTTTTTTTTTTTTTTTTACCAATCTTGCCTCTCTCTCTCACAGTGTTTATGGGCCAGTCTGACTTACTGAATTTGCTATTCGCGGTGGGTGTTTGGTGTTCTGCATATATTGTTGTTGCAGTTGTTGCATCATTGCGGATCATCTCCTGTCTTTGTCCGCTTTAAACTTGGGAGACAACTAGAAAGCTGCCATGGGATATGCACAACTAGTTATAGGTCCTGCCGGCAGTGGAAAGGTGATAGATCAAGTGCTTTGTTCAACTATTCATACATTTTTACTTGTTTTCTGCTTTATTATATTATTGACCCTAAAAATTAGCATCAAGCATTTTCATGAATATATCTTAGCCTTTGAATTTACAATTCATGCATTATGAATAGTAATCAAACTATTAATATCTGCTGTATTTTTTCAGTTAAAGTATTGTTTATTTATATATGCTCCTAAATGAATCCAAAAACGTAAAATTTCATTATTGTATGCTTATTAATCAGCTGGTTTATTTAAGCATATGCCCTTGTTCAAGAGGTCAGAGGTTTGAATCCACTTCTCCTGCTTGTTTTGTTTTTTTATGAGAGACAATTTCATTGATGCTTGAAATTTACAAAAAGGATGTGTTCTTCATGATGCTTACAAAGGTAGGAAGCAAAATTATTAGATAATTTACACAAAAAAAATACAAGGTATACAACATTTTCAAAAAGCCTAGGATAAGTATGTATCTTCTTTGTGAATATTTTTTGATTTTTTCCTTTCCATAAATTCCAAATGAAAGCCGTAATGAGGTTTGTCCATGTCAAAGTCTTTGCATTGTTGAGGGTGTGGTATGTTAAGACCATGTTCAATAGCTCCTTTATCTCACTAGGAAAAACGTTGGTTTTGAGATTTGTGGTCTTTCTTGCATAAAGGGCGTCATTTTGGAAATAGTTCACTCTGTTTCTTGGCTGTAGTGGGTTCCTTTTTTCTTTTTCTTTTTTTCTGTTTTTCTGGATGGAATGGCCATGATGCACATGTGTTGTTCTTTTAGCCATGGTGTCAAGATTGAGATGACCGTTGCTGCCTGTTGGTGTGAGTTTCCCTGAGATGAGAGGGATTCGTTTTGCCTCTAGTTCATTTTGCTCTTACCTCCACTTGTTGAACTAAAAACAGCATGAAGATGCGGCTGTATATCCCAAGGAATAGTAGCTATTTTCAGATGCATTATTTGATATTGACTCCGAACATTTTGAGTTTACAAAAGTTAATTCTAACCTCATCTGTGAGTCTAAAATGGTAGTTACTTTTAACTAACTTCGGTGAAATTTTTACCTGAATCAGTCAACCTACTGCTCTAGTTTGTACCAACACTGTGAGACAGTTGGCCGAACTATGCATGTTGTGAATCTTGACCCTGCTGCCGAACATTTTGACTATCCTGTAGCCATGGGTAGGTGTACATTACGTTTGATGATCTTATGAATTCAAATGATCAATTCACCGGTCTTAAGTGATTAATATTGCATGCCGACAGATATTAGGGAGCTCATTTCGTTGGATGATGTTATGGAGGAGCTTGGACTTGGTCCTAATGGTGGCCTTCTGTACTGCATGGAGTATCCTTAAGTGATTATGCCCTTTTCATGAAGTTGTGGGATTCAGTTGCTCTAAATTTTGAGTCTATTTTATTTGTGGGCCAAAATTCGAAGAGTGTGCGTGCGCTTAAAACTTTATGAATTTCCTTAATCTTATTATTAGACATCTTGAAGAAAATCTAGATGATTGGTTGACAGAAGAATTGGATAACTACATGGATGATGATTATTTAGTTTTCGACTGCCCAGGTTTGCATACTCTCTAGCGTTTGCATGTGCATACTGACAGACGACTATAATTTGTTCGAGGATAAAACTATCTTCAAAAAATAGTTTCTTTTTCGAGTTGGAATTGTGTATTGAATTCATCATGTTTATCATACGTATTGAATATTATCATTTTTATCACTACGTAGGTCAGATAGAGCTCTTTTCCCATGTTCCGGTTCTTAAAAACTTTGTGGAGCATTTAAAGAGAAAAAATTTCAATGTCTGTGCTGTGTATTTGCTTGATTCTCAGGTTTGTCAATTCAAAGTTCTCTTTCTTATCTATCACTCCAATAATGCTGTGGTCTATTCTTTACTCGTATAGTGACAATTGCCCTATTTGTCAGTTCATGACAGACATCACAAAGTTTATCAGTGGTTGTATGGCATCTCTTTCAGCAATGGTCCAACTTGAATTACCACATATTAACATCCTCTCCAAAATGGATCTTGTGACCAACAAAAAGGATATTGATGAGTATGTATCGCCATCACCATCTGCTTCTGTACTGATTATTCCTTTGAGTTTCATCTTCAATGTTTACAGGTTTGTAACCCTAATGCTTTAAACATTGTTTAAAAAACTCTAGCTTCTTAAATCCGGAGCCTCAAGTTTTGTTGTCTGAGCTGAATCAACGTATGGCTCCACAATTTTCAAAGCTAAATAAAGCTCTAATTGAACTGGTGAGCAGTTTACACCCTTTTCATTCATTACTCAAGTTTCCGGTGCATGGTTGATAAGTTTTGTTTGCAGGCTATGCGAAAGAATATTGTTGAATTATATGATAAGAATATTATTGAAGTTTATTATTATTATTTCATTCTCAAAGAGGGGTCTTTTTGGTGTGACAATTTCCTACAAAAGTATGTTTTAACTATTAATGATTTTATCTATTTTCATTTTTCCTCATGCAAACGTTTTGTACATATGACCTCTAACTCATTTTTTAGATTTTACATGATGTGGCTCGACTATGTGCCTATATCAAGTGAGAATTTTTCATGAACAAATGTGTTTGCAAGATGCAATCTTGCTATGAAATTTTCTTGAAGTCCTTAATCAAGGGCCATAACTGGCATGACAGTCCCAGAGTCCCATGTGTTCTGGCTTTTGGTTATTGCGTGTTTCCTCAATTGCATTACTGGAAGCGCTGCAAGTAAAATGATTTGGCTGAGACTTGGGTTGAACTACATGAGTTTTAGTGATAAATATAACAATTATTCTTCTGTTAGGAAGGAATATGATGCTAAATCATGGTATTTGAAAAGATCATAAAAAATACTTTTAATTTGTATTCTTGTTTATTTAAGATTTTCAATTATGCTCTTTTGCAATGAGCTAAGAATGAGAATGCTGGTTTTGTACTTATTTACGTTTATTTATTAATTTAGGTGGACGATTATAACATGGTGAGTTTTGTGCCACTTGACTTGAGGAAAGAAAGCAGGTACTTTTTTAGTGTGCTCACTTGTTTTTATTTCAGTTCAACGAGACTATTTTTGTGAATACTTTGATAACGTTGTATATTTTCTAGTTGGAATTGAGCATTTTATTGCTACATTTGGTTTTCTGTTTACTTGTTTGTATCTATAGCTAGGTTGGTACACGACTTTCTATGACTTGTTATGGGTGTTTTGATGGTTGAAGTTTGTGTGATGTATTGGTTATTTCTAGAACATGTTTTAAACCTAGTCTTGTGGGGTTGATTTTACTGTTTATTCAAAGATAGATGACAGGAAGTTACTTTTTCCTGTTTATTCTATTCCTCGCTTGGGTTAAAAATGAACGTTTTTTTTTCCTTCTAAATTTTATCAGCTATGCAGTCCTTGGAGTAAATGACAGGAAGTTACTTTTTCCTGCTTATTGACTTCCTACTTTTTACCTTTGGCTTTTAGATGAGTTGATTTTCCTGTTGGACTCTTCAATAAGGCAAATGGCTGATATCATCATTTTTGTTTGAACAGTATAAAATACGTGTTGGCTCAAATAGACAACTGCATTCAGTACGGTGAAGATGCAGATGTGAAGATTAAGGATTTTGATCCAGAGGATGATGATTAAATCAGAGTTGGGAGGTTTTTTTGGGTTTTTTTTTTGTTTGATTAGAACACGATAATCAAATCAGAGTTTGAGTTTCAGCTATACATATGTTTGTCTGTAAGTGTTCAAACTTTTTCTGTCTTTTTGTTTCTGGTGAAGATGAGTGTTACAACTGCTTGAAGCATTTGTTTTAATAAAGAAAATGAAGAGAAATACTGCGAAGAAATGGATGAATAGGAAGTTATTGTGATCTTATATGTATATGTATAAAAGAAAATGTAATTTCAAAGAAAATTGTGAAGTTCAAGATAAAGGCTGTTTCTTACTAAGATAGGCTGAGCTACTTTAAAAAAATAACAGAGGTAACCATTACTGTCCCGAATTCGAATCTTTGGACGAGCTTAATGAAAAAATCCCCATATGTCTCTTGAGGATAGAGTAGCAAAGCCGACTCCATACTTCTAAAAAATAACAGAGGTAACCATTACTATCCCAAACTCGAATCTTTGGATGAACTTGACGAAAAAAACCAATGTTGTCTCTCGAGGATAGAGAAGCAAAGTTGACTCCATACTAAAAAAAAAAACAGAGGTTACCATTACTGTCCCGAATTCGAATCTTCGTATGAGCTTAATGAAAAAAACCCGTGTTGTCTCTCAAGTATAGAGAAGCAAAGACCGTCTCCCGGGTATAATAAACAAATAAATAGCAAAAGTCAAGTGTCAGTCCACAATATACATTATATGCACAACACTCACAACAGAACCAGTAGCCTAAAGCCTAAATCCACAGCAGTGGGAACTGTCCATGCTATGTTCTTGCCAAGCTCAAAGCAAAACTAGAATCTAGAACCTACGAGTCTAGATTCACCAAAGAGAAGAAAAGAACAGGAATCCTACATTTACACATTAAGATCAAAGATATAATTCATAACTAAAGAATTTAAGTCTAGTAGTACACAATCATTTGAGAAGAAACTGATGGAAATTATACCCTTCAAAATTAATTATGCATTGGGAAAGTTCTCTTCCTATCACTTTCCTTTCCCTGTGCTTCCATCTCTTTGATTCCGAAAATGACTGAGCAGCTGTTGTGCCTGCAATATATGAGAAACAATATCATTCTCGGGTACGGTCGAGAATACAACAGCCCAAGTTTTGTAGTACTAAATCAATCAAGAAATTCGAAAAACGGAATAAACAAGTGAAGCGATTTCAAAAATGGAGTAAACAAATGTTATAGGTTAGTTGTGATCCCAAAATGAAAGAATAGATACCTTTTCTTTTGCTCTAGGTGTGCCAGACTGAGATAAGGCAACAAGGGGTGGGACAGCTCCTTCTTGGAGAACCAAGGTGCAAAACTTGGAACTATGAAGGCATAGTTGCAATAGAATAGATGCAACATTTTCCTTTCCTCTCATCGATCCAGACTCGACAATTTCTACCAACAGGGGGATGCCCCCTTCCCTCACGATTCCCAATCGTCCCTCCGAAATTGTGGATAAGTTAGCAAGAAGTGCGGCAGCCTTGTCGACCATACCTTCGCCTGTGTCTAGAAGCTCGACAAGGTACTTAACAGCTCCTGCCTGAACGATACGAGCCTTATTTTCGTGAAAAATAGATAAGTTGAACAAAGCTGTAGCTGCATCTTTCTTGCCTCTCAGAGTACCCACACCTAAGAGATCCACCAAGGCTTTCACCGCACCGGACCGACCAATTTTGGCCTTGTATTCTTCTAATACAGAGAGACTGAATAAAGTTGCTGCAGAATTTTCTTTAGCAGCAGAGCTTCCTGTCTTCAAAACATGAATAAGTGGTTCTATAGCTCCAGCTTCTGCAATCATAGCTTTATTGTTTTCATTAATTGAAAGATTTAACAGAGCTGTCACGGCATGTTCTTGTATCAGCTTTCGTTCTGAATATAACAACGAAAGTAAGGGGCCTATTGCGCCGTATCGACCTATAATAACACGATTCTCGACATTGTCCTTGGCAAGAAGTCTCAATTCTTCTGCAGCCTTCATTTGAACTTCATCCCTTTGGCTCTTAAGGTCTGCTATTAATTTCTTGATATGCAAATCTCCGGATAAGTTATCCATTCCACCATTGCAGTTTCCATTCTCCACTATGCCTGTTTCTGTTTTACAAGCCTGTAATTGTCCACCTCCACCTCCTAACGACGAAGTAATCCCCAATGCTTCACTAAGAGATGCAGCAGGACGCTCTGATGTGATTTCTCCAGATAATTCCTTCGTATGTTTGTGTTTATTTGATGTCTTTAACGACTCATTAAATGCTGATGGAATGTAATCGATGCTAGAGAAAGCACTGGAGGTTGATACACTTCTGCTGTAGATATACGACTGCTGCGGAGACGGGGGATCAAACTTTTCTGCTTCGTTCCCCTGACTTTCATTCGAATTTTCCCCGATTAAATGAGCAAAAACATCCCCATTTTGCTTGTCAGAACCCTTTTCAACTTCAGAGGATGATCTTGCAGTTGAATTACTGCCGTGCAAAGAATAACGAAAGCTATCGCTTCGACTCAAAACCAACGACGATAAACTGGAAATGTTCAACTTGTTTTCGTCGCACCAATTCGATATCATGGCTTTAACAGTGTAATTGGGAGTGAGATTTGTATGCGTGAGCATCTGATGAGTGTTGGGGCAAATGTTTAGCCCGCTATCAATCCATTTTTGAATGGAGGATCTGCCATAAGTTTGGCCAGATGCCACAATTACTGGATCGAGCATCAACTCTAACGACAACGGGCAGCGAAAATAAGAAGGAACCGGGACTCCATTTATCCTATGAAAGTAGTCTTTTCTAACCATCCAATCGCGCATACGAATAATTAGATCCTTAATTTGGTTGATGCGATGCAGTTCCTCCTTCGCATCGTTACATTCAGCGTCGATTCTTTCCTTTTCGATGGCTATCGTCTCCTTCAGAAGTTCTTGATTCGACAACAAATGAAGTGCTTTGATTATTTTTATAAGTTGTTCGGAGTTTGGGCCAATGCCACTTCTTTGACTGATTAGAGCCTCTTCTATGGATTCAGATATCCTTTCTTGCTTCAATGATTGAAGGCCTTCAAGACATTTCTGGACAGTTCATTAGATATCAATATCATTCTTGTCAAGTAAACTATGAGGAAAAAGGATGTATCAAAATCAAGACAACTCCAAACAGCTTAGTCATTTAGAAAGAAAAAATATAAATGACGTAAAATATGACAAACGTTTCAAAATTTATACATACCTGAACAACATTTAGACTTGAGCTGCACGATACCGATTCAGACGACTTCCAAACATTCTCACAGATCGCTTGGGAAGCGTCTTGAATTTTTATAAGCAGTGGATCACATTTCAAAGCCTAAGATCCATACAAAACAAAGAGACTATTAACTTAAAGTTACTGATATGAAAGTGTCTAATTTCAAAGCCTAAGGTAACTCACACTGCAAATTTTGCTTGTCTTCGGACACCAGTTTTCGAGGCATTCTCGAGCCTCATTCACAGCTGTATCCAGCAACTCACATTCCCTATGATGTAACTCATCGGAAGATAGTTTGAGGCTAATGACATCATCAAGCACGAGTTTTAGAAGTTTTAATACAACAACAAGATCCTTGCAGCTCTTAGGAAGAGGCAAAGGCTTTGTAGTGTGGCATGAAACTAGATGAATGAATCTGGAAATACTGTTAATCAGACATTGTACAGAGGCTGTTCCCATCTGTCCTGATTTCAGGGAAACATGATGACGAAATGAGAAAGACGAGTATAAGCTCCCCACAGAGACAAGATGTTGATTAATATCAACGTTAAAGAAAGCGTTAAACAAAAATGTAACGGAATGATTAAGAAGAAGTATATAACACCATGAACATATTTTTTAGGACAACTAACCAGAATCGACTTATATTAAATGTTGGGTTCCTTGAACTTCCAAAGAGTTGGGCAAGGTGTTTTGTGCAATGATTAGAGAAAAGATATGCCTATTGGAGGGGAGACTATCTGTAACAGCCTAAGTTCAAGCCCACCACTAATAAATATTATTATTTTTGAGCTTTTCCTTTCGGGCTTTCCCCTTAAGGTCTCACAATCCACCCTCCTTCGGGGCCCAGTGTCCTAATTGGCACTCGTTCTCCTCTCCAATCGATGTGAGATTTCACAATCCACCCCCTCTTTAGGGCCAGCATCCTCGCTGACACACCGCCCAATGTCGACCCCCCTTCGAGGCTCATCATCCTCGTTGGCACATCGCCCAGTGTCGAGACTCTACTACCATTGGTAACAGCCCAAGCCCACCATTAGCAATTCTTATCCTCTTTGAAGAGGAGAACAAAGCTTTCCTTATAAGAATGTGAAAACATCTCTCTAGTAGACACATTTTAAAACCTTCCTAGAAGAAAAAGATCAAAGAGGACAATATCTACTAGCGGTTGGCTAGGGCTGTTACAAAGTAACTTGATTTCCAAACTCAACGAGCACAACCTTAGGTGAACGAGTTCAGTTTAAGGACAGAAATTCCTTCAGACTTGCAAGAAAACCTCCAATTCGGTCAACCATTTGCGAACGAAAAATACCATCTCTCAGAGGCAAATGTAACCCTTTCATAGGATCACTCCAAAAGAAAATCCAGCCACCATTCCTCAACTTTCAAACAAACATAAGAAAAAAGCTCTTCAGCAGTAGAACCAAGAAATCCTAGAACAAGTCAAATTCATTTACTAGTAGAACCAAGCCCTTCAGCTACCAGATTCAAAACGAAAGAATTCAACTATCATTAAGGGATAAAAAGGGTCAATCCTATTTAGTGAAACAGAACTTCGTAACATTGTTACATATTCATTCACTAGATGAACAGAGATCTTCATTTCCACTTAACACAATTTCTGAAAAAAAACAGTCCCAGAAAGCACAAACATCAATCCAACAATCGTAAAACAATCTCATAAAAGAAGGAAAGAAAGCGCAAAACCCCCATCATTAGAAGCAATAAGCAAATTCATGTAAAGGAATTGTCGTAAATTCAGAAAACAACTCATCTAACCTGCGACTCAAAAGAGGCGAATCACGGCACAAACTTATAAAAAACGACAACCATTTCACAAAAATCCTCCTCAGAAACTAAGCGGTAAGAATCTCCACGCACCCTTTCGCAAGAACAGCTCGCATCGAGTGAAAGAGTCGAGAGAGAAAGAGAGAAAAAAAAAAAAAAGGAGAAATGGCGAAATGCTGGAAGTGGGCTACCTTGTTCTTGTTTCGTGAAGGTAAAAAGGGTAAGAGGAAGAAAGGGAATATGGGAAATCGCAATGGAAGATGGAAAGAAATGGCAAAATGTGGTTTTCTTTGAGACAATGATTGGATTAAAGGGTAATCAACAATAACTAATTTTGATTTATATTTTATTGAGTTCTTTTCAATGGATGATGATGATGATGGGAAGTCATGGCTTTCAATAGGCATGGACGTGGATTAGCTTGTGAAATTACTATTATGCCCCTCTTCATGACACTCTCATTAATTTGTTTATTAATTAAAATTCCAAATGCCTTTAAAGTTTCCATTTTTATTGATATTTATTATTTTGAATTTCTTTCCATTTAAATTTTTATATAAAAAATTATTAAATAATCAGTGGACCCTATTTTAAGTTGGTTGAATGGGTCGAATCGTCTCAACTGCAAACTTAATCGAGCTGAATTTTTCAATTTTTTAAAAAATGAATCCACACGAAATCGAAAAAAAATATAATTATAAGTCGAGTGGTCTAAACTATTTGAGTCATCGAGTCATATGAATGCTTTTACCATCTAACCCAAATGTAGTTTTTGATGTATTTACGAAAAGTGAAGGGTTATATTGTAATTTGATTATTTATTATTATTCTTTTTTTAATTTTGTATTTAGCAAAAAAGGAAAATACTTCAATTTTAAATTATTGGAGAAATTTTTAAACGACACACATAAATACACACACACACCAAAAAAAAAAAAAAAAAAAAAAAAAAAAGGGGGGGAAAAAAGCGCTCGCAAATCTAAAGAGAATCCTGTCGTAGATGAAATAAAGAAATTGAGAGAAAAGCATTCAATCTCCTTCATTGAATTTTTTGCTTCATCCCTTTGAAGGAATTCTTAATCGAAGTCAAAGATCAGAGTATGTGGGGTAGGGTTGAAGTTGAACTGTGCCCTTTGAAGATTTCCCGATTTCTTTGTTTCCTTTTCTGCTCTGGAATTCGATCTATGCAGCAAATTTTCCACCCAAATTTCTCTACTTTCTATCTCCGAATTGAATTTCCGTTTCCAAAATCGATTACGAAGGGGCACAAACGGCGGAGTTGGGGATTTGAGATAGTGAGAAGACTCGGTTAGCGGATTTGGGAGTCGAATCTTTTCAACTTCTTGTGTCTCCTGCTCCTTCAGGTTTGAGCCCTAATTTTCTCGTTGAAGCTGGAAGGTATTCTTATGAATTTTCTGGTATTTGTTTCTTCTGTTGCTTCCTTTTGGTTCGGTTACTTGTTTAATCTATGTTGATTTCCTGATACGATTGAAGTATTTTTCTTCTGATCGTTGACTTCGTTTTTCCTCCTTTTTTGTTGGGGATTCTTGGATTGAGCGTGTCAGAATGTTAGACCTTTTTATCTTTACTGAAATAAGCTATTTTCGTCGTAATCTTGCTTTGGTTTGTGTCTCTTTTTCGAAGTCTACTGATGATTTGGCCATCGACAGTGGCTTTATCTTAATGTTTGAATCCAGTCGTGCTAGAATGGGTCTGTTGAAATTTGCTATATTCCAGGTATGAACAGCTCTGTTTCTTCCAGTCGTGCTACCTCTTCGAGTTGCAGTTTCATTGGATTGTCGGAACTACAAGACATATTCATAGTAGGAGGGGTTTGAGTTAGACCCGGAGTGTGAAATTTTAATTTACTGGTGCTCAACTCCGTATGCTTTATTTTCAGTTCCTAGCATTGGAAGATGTCGTGGGGGAGGGGTAAATCTCCTGGCTGGGCAGCGGTTAACCTTAAGCAACAGAATAGTGGCCTTCAAGATGAAATTGACCCGGACCCATTCCCACCAATGTCTACCGCTCATTCCTTTCTGCCACCCTGTGAAAACGTACACAGAGTTAATGGTCGTTCAGGGAGGTCTTCACAAGAAAATTTTGGTGCAGAAAAGACAATACTTGGTAATTCTAGCATTCGAAGTAGCAAGAAGTTGGTTGAAGAATCCACTGATGTTTTAGCCTTCTGGAAGCTTAAAGAGCTTCATTCTTGGGCTGATATCAGCTTGATTGTGGATATAATGGAAGCTGTAAATAATAACTTCAACGAGGCGTCTAAGTTATTAAAAACAATGGTTTCTAGTGACAATTTTGAGATCAATAATGAGATGAGCACCTTAGGACTGCATTCCTCTAATGATGTATCATTGGTGAGGGGTAAATCTTCTGGCTGGGAAGAATTTAACCTTAAGCAACAAAATAGAGGCTTTCAAGATAGAATTGATCCGAAACCATTCCCACCGATGCCAAGTTCCCTTTCCTCTTTGCCACCCCGTGAAAACTTGCACGGTGTTAATGGCCGTCCAGGGGGATCCTCCTCATCTTCACCTCTTCCTTCTGCTGATTCTCTAACTTTGCCAGAAAATTACGGTGCAAAGAAAATACTTGGTGATTCTACCATTCAAAATGGAAGGAAGGTGGTTGAAGAAACCACTGACGTTTTAGCCTTTTGGAAGCTTAAGGAGCTTCATACTTGGGCTGATTTTAGCTTGATTGTGGATATAATGGAAGCTGTAGATAATAACTTCAATGAGGCGTCTACTTTTTTAAACAAAATGGTTTCTAGTGACAATGTTGAGATCTGTAACGAGATGAGCACCCTAGGACTGCATTCTGCTGATGGATTATCGTGCAATGGGAAGAATGATGTAACCATATCATCAGAAAGAACTGTTAATAATCCCATCCCTAGTTCCACACTAAAGGATGTGCAAGACATGCATCAAAATATTAATGATAAATTGTTTGAAAATAATTATCATGAAAGAAATTTCTTTCACAATGTTGGAAATCCAAAAATAGCTCTTTATTGCTCAAAGTCTGCTCCTATTGAGCCCGAGTGGGAAGAAGATGATATTTACCTGAGCCATCGGAAAGATGCTATAGCAATGATGAGGTAAATAAGTCTTCTGTCTACTTTATTATCGGGTTGTTTTTCTACTTCAATTTAATTTTTTTTTTCCTTAATAGATATATTTGTTAAAATTTCCATAACAAAAACTTATTTTTCTTTTTCCTGCTTCTTTTATCATTGTGATGCACCACTGGGTTTCTGGGGTTCTTTGTATTTATTATATATTTTTACCGTGTGTGAGAAGAACGTTTTAAAGAATTTATATGTATGGGGGATCTGGTTGTACCTTGAGTTATGAGTAGACAACAGTCTGTTTGTATGAATAAGCTAATTTATGTTGATAGCTCAAGCTTTGGAAATTAATAGAAAGTCGACGTGATAAGAGGGAGTTATTGAATCCAAGTCCATGGTAATTTTTTGTTTTTAATTCAAATTGACACTGTAATCATACTCAAAAGAAATGTTAAAAAATAATTGTTGGACAATTATTCTTGACCTAGGCTCTCTTGTATTGTGGCTTTGGTCTTATGTTGTAGTGTAAAATATATGGTTCTTGGGAGAAGGTTCAAGTACTCAATGCTATAGGAGTTGATGTCTCGCTTAATATGATCCGATTTATTTGTAATTTTCTTTAATCAATAGGTCTGCATCTCAACATTCAAGGGTAGCCACTAATGCCTATCTTCGGAAGGATCATGCTTCTGCCAAGTATCATTCATCAAGGGCTCAAGAACAATGGCTAGCTGCAAAAATGTTAAATGCTAAGGCAGCCAATGAAATTTTACAAACAAGGAATAGTGAAAATGGGCTCTGGAAGTTGGACTTACATGGGCTTCATGCAGCAGAGGCTGTTCAAGCCTTGCAAGATCACTTGCTGAAAATCGAAACTTGGAATGCCTCCAATCGGTCGTTGTCGCCAAAGAAAGCTGAAAGGAAGGGTTTCTATCGTGTTTCATCCCTTGAGTATCTTAGTTGTCTGGGCGTAAAGTTGGACAAAGAATTACAATCACCATTACCTAGGCATAGGCCGACATCATTGGAAGTCATAACAGGTAAATTGTATCTGTTGCTGTTTAACTCAACATTTGTGTTTTCTTAAAGTTAGGTTTAACAGGCAAATTTCATTCTTTTCACATTTGTTTTTCTTGAGAATGGAATCATTGTATGACAATGTAACTGATAACTTTAGAGGCTGACTACGCTTGTGTTGCCTTTAGCCTTTATCAATTCCAGAGATAGATTGGCATTTTCTACATTATTCAATACTTTTGGTTACAGTAGCACAGTGGACATTGTGGTATGCCAACCTATTAATTGAAAGTTTTCTCTCTGCTGTATCTAGGCTTCAATCCTAAACGCTCTTCAAAACCCTCCTCACGTGCTAGTATCTAGTAGTTTTTTGGCTTATTATTCCATATTGCATATAAAAATCTATCAAGATTTGTTCTTGGGTTGATAATCCACTATTGATAGGGAAGAGTTACATCTGCCACCATGCGAGAAAAGGCTGTATGAATTGTGAGAAAAAGGTTTTAAGAGTGTGGTAACCTTTCCCTAGTAGATAAGAGAATGAAGCATTCCTTATAAGGGTGTGCAAACCTCTCCATAGTGGACGCGTTTTAAAATCTTGAGGGGAAGTCCCGAATGGAAAACCCAAAGAGGACAATGTTTTCTAGCGGCGGGCTTGGGCTGTTACGAATGGTATCAAAGCCAGACACCGGGCGGTGTGCCAGCAAGGACGCTGGGTCCCCAAGGTGGTGGATTGTGAGTTCCCACATCGGTTGGAGAGGGGAACGAATCATTTCTTATAAGGGAGTAGAAACCTCTCCTTAGTGGACGCGTTTTAAAACCTTGAGGGGAAGCCCATAAGGGAAAGTTCAAAGAGGACCATGAGCTTATTTCTTTGCATTTATTGTGTTTAGATTTGCATGCGAGAGACATTCAAGTAGTCTCAATCAAACTATCTTGTGAAGTGATTCGAATCACAAGTTAAATACTCTGGATCTTGATCATCTAGGGAAGTCATTCTAAAACTTTCCCTTGGGATGATTCTTTATCGTTTTTGGGGGTTTTTGGATAATTTCGATCTAAAAGTCTCATTCTTCAACAAGATCGTTAGATCAAATCTCAAGAGTTTCATAACCCTTGGTGCATCTTACCCATGCGTGTACTTGGAGAAAGGCACTTGGGGAAGTAATGAGCTATTAGTTAGCTGGGGATGGCCGGGTGGATGCATGTTTCGCGACTGCGGGTCCCATTTGTAATGAAGGACAAAATGGAAATCTGCTTAGCTGAGGCCAGGAGGCTATATATATATTAGATATAACAATGAGTTTCATCATAGGTTGATTTGACTGAAGGGAAAGATTTAAATGTCGGTGACGCTAGCATATTTTTTTCGTAAAATAACGAATTCTCATGTGCACTACTGATTCAAACATTGACGATTGTACTCATGATGTTTTGTTCGTTCTCAAAGGAATAGGTAAACATAGCAGGGGGGAGGCTGCTCTACCAAAGGCCGTGACAAGTTTTCTTAGTGAAAATGGGTGAGTCTACTTTTCTTTCCATTTTGACTTTAACCAAAAAGAAGGGTAAAAATGTTTATAGATTCATTCTACTTCAACCACTTGATAATTTGCAGGTACCGTTTTGAACAGTTGAGGCCTGGAACGATCAGCGTTCGACCGAAGTTTCGTAGGTAAACGACTCTCCCTTATTAGTAGTAGCTTCAAAGTTATTCAGTCAGAACGTAGATTAGAGTTGTTGGAGGTTGGGTAAGTGAAACGTGTAAAATGACTGAAAATGTTCGTTATTTAGAAGGAGCTCTGTAGGATTGGTTGTTAACCACATTACTGCATTGTTATTTTGTTGTCTTTCCTGGAAAAGATAGCACCTAGGAAGAAGAGGTTAGAAGAACTCTGGAATCCTGGGATTGTATTCTATTATGATTCATTATGGCGATTGCACTAGTTGAGTCTACTTCTCTAATCCATTGAAAATATAATAGCTGATTTGCTAATGACTTCATCAATGTTGATGCAAATAAACTGATGTGGTAATATAAACTTTAGAGTACGAGCTTGAAGTATTGAAGTAATTTATCATATAGATGGCATTACGAGCCAAATGATCTAGTACATATTTCAATAGGTATTACTATTTTAAACGTCGATGATTTATCTAATGATTTATGTTCTAATAAAATCCTTTAATTGGTATCCAGCATTCACATCATTCTTTTCCTTAAAAAGCCTATATTGTTGGGTTGAAAATGGGCGATAAAGTCTTGATTTTCCTTCTCCAACAATCTCACTCGGCGCATATATTTCTTTATCATCATCCTTGGGTGTCAAAAAGAAAGCCATAGAGAATCTCTTCATATTATTTTTCCTTAACACAACTCTATGTACGGCAGATCTTAGCCTCCCATTGCTCCAAGCCTCCATAAAATCCCCAATGTTCACCACAAGGTTATTGTCCTCACTCGGCCTTACGTCCATCCAGTCTCCTCCTTTCAATCTCATTTGTAGCCCTCTAATGTCATTTTGGAACACTATCGTCACATAGCTAAGGTCAGTGTGCTTCTTGAACACTTCGAGTTCTTCTTCTTCTTCATTCATGCCTCGAGGAGTGAAGCCGTTTATTCTTATGTAGGCATTGCAGTTGCTGAACTCGGAATCATAGAATTTGTTTTCAATATTATCTCCCAAGATGTTTAGTAATAACTTTACTACTCTTTTCGATACTTCTTTCATTTTGCTTCCATATTCATCTAGAAGATTGCTGCAAATAAACTCGAACATACAAACTTCAAATATAGAGATGATGAAAAATGATTGATTATTATATTCTTTCATGCATTAATATATTGAACATAAAATTGAAAATTTAGAATTTTAGTGAACACTTTGAATCTTCTGTGACTTAACTCTTTCAAGAAAAATTAAGCATGTCAGTGTTTTAGGGATTAACGGTATAGTACTCATAATGTATAAACTTCTTTGAATAATTTCTCTTAAAATTGTTAAATATGTGAGGAAAATAAATAAATACTTTAAATTTGTATTTGGTGTTTATTAGAAGACATTCAGATTTCAATAGCTAACATTCTTAGAAGAAGAAGAAAGGAAGGAAGAAAGATGACCTGAATTCAGTGGCTTGGTGGCCGAATAAAGATTGAGTGAAACCCTGCGCATTAGCAGAGGCTGAGAAGTTGGGCCCCGAAACCTTGAAGCTTTCGAAGAAAGGCGATAGCACAAATCTCGGGATGTACGAGGAAGCTCCTATTGTCAGTTTTTGTTTGGTCTCCTCTGGTGAAGAAAAAAGTTGGTCGGCGCCAGATATGAGTTTTTGGTAGAGCTCCTTTGAAAGACCATGGTTTCTAATGAAGAAGAATCCGAATTCGTTGCACGCTCTAAGTAGAGAAGATGCAGCGGATTCGGTCAAGCTCTGAGAGCTAATGTCTATCACTGGAACTTCCACTATCGACATATTGTGCTATACTTACAAATCCTATGATTTTGAAACCAAACAAGAAAATGATAGTTCCTTAAATAATGCTCTTTTCAATTGTTACATACACATCTATCTCTTAATTTACTTTCTTGTCTTACCTCTTTGATGGGTAAGTTTAAATATGACATTTATGTTTTATTATGTGGACATCAATTTGTTTCGGGTGACCCTCTCGAAAAAAAATCTCCATTTAAACAGGGAATGAAGAAGTGAGTAGGAAAAGATTTCTTCTCGTTAAATAAATGGGGCCGGGGATAGGGATTGTATTCCTCGTCCCCATCCCGTGGACATCTCAATTTTCTTTTATTATAAAATATAAGTATAATTTTACTGGGTTAAATTGATCAGATTTTCGAGTCATTAGATTTTATGACCTTTGAGTTCGAGTCATGAAAAAGAAAATTGCACTTTCTTGATATAGTCATTGACTTTCAATTCTTTTAAATTTTTCTTAGTCATTCTATCTTTAGGATCGTTCTCATTTACATGCGGTCTCGGATTATTCATGTACCTCTTTTTTATTCGGGTGTCACGCTAGGTATCTTTTTCTTACACGCAAGTATAAGAAAGAAAATAAATTATATAAAAAAAAAAAAAGAAAGAAAGAAAAGCAATTCCAAGTAATTGATAAAAAAAAAATTAGATTAATGAATAGTTCAAAATTAATTTCAAGCCATAAATACAAGTTGAATAATTCTTGGTAATAAATGAAACAATTTATTATAATTAATACAAAAACTTTTATATTTATCTATTATTTAATAACTTTAATAAACACTTGATTGCATTATTTAATATATTTTATTATTGAAAAATAATTACGTATACATTTCAATCTATTAATTAGTTAGTGCAAATTTATATAACATAATTACCAATTAATTAGAATGTGGACTTATTTAAATTAAATATGAGATAAAATTGCATAGCTCGTCTCTAAATTATTCATTTTTATCTAATAAAAATTTCAATATAAAAAAGAAAATTAATAATTTAAAATTTTATAGACTTATTAATAAAAATTAAAATAATAGAGATGGATTAAACAATTTATTTAGATTAGGACAGATCATATATAAAATTATTTACGTTATGGCCATATCATATCAGGTACATATGTGAAGTAACACAAATATATCATTGTAGCGGATTAACCTATGAGAGATCTGTCGATCTATTGGCATAACTCAATCTGGAATTATAACACTCTGAGACCCGTTCTAACAAATACAAGTTTAAAACGTATATGTTAAGGAGATGTTTCTACATTCTTGTAACAAATATTTTATTTCCCTCTTCAACTATGGTAGGATCTTGCCGGAAACAAATTCAAAATCCAAGAACAAAAATGAAACTTTTAATTGAAACGTGTTTAAAAGTTTACCAACTTTCTCGTAATTGTTTTCCCTAAAATGCTTATATTGTTGGGTTGAAAACGAGCGGTAAAGACTTGATTTCCCTTCTCCAACAACCTCACTCGGGGCGTGTATTTCTCTAGATTCATCTTCAGGTGTCGAAGTGTAAACGATAGAGAATCTTTTCATATTATTTTTCCTCAAAACGACTCTATGTATGGCAGATCTCAGCCTCTCATTGCTCCAAGCCTCTAATAAATCTCCAATGTTCACCACAAGAATACCGTCCTCACTTGGCTTTACGTCGATCCATTCGCCTCCTTTCGATCTCATTTGTAGCCCCCTAATGTCGTTTGGGAACACTATCGTCACGTAGCTGATGTCGGTGTGTTTCTTGAACACTTCAACTTCTTCGTCGTCATTCATGCCAAGAGGAGTGTAGCTGTTTATTCTTAGGTAGCCATTACTGTTGCTGAACTCGGGATCATATAATTTGTTTTCAATATTATCTCCCAAGATGCTTAGTAATAGCTTCAATACTCTTTTCGATATTTCTGTTATTTTACTTCCATATTCGTCTAGAAGATTGCTGCAACATACAAACACAAATTAGTGTCTAAATAAAGTAGATAATGATAGAACAATCATATAAAATAAAGCTCATTGGGCAGATTTTAATAGCGATGAAAGCAAACATTTTTAAGGAGAAGACAACCTGAATTCAATAGTTTGGTGGCCGAATAGGGATGGAGTGAAACCCAACGCAACAACAGAGGCTGAAAAGTTGGGTCCCGAAACCCTGAAGCTCTCAAAGAAAGGTGACACCACAAATCTCGGGGTGTACGAGGAAACTCCCATTGTCAGTTTTTGCTTGGTCTCCTCGGGAGAAGAAAAAAACTCATCGGCGCTGGAGATGAGTTTCTTGTAAAACTCCTTTGAAACGACATGGTTTCTGATGAAGAAGAATCCCAATTCACTGCACGCTCTAAGTAGAGAAGATGCAATCGATTCGGTCAAGCTCTTACAACCAAGGTCTATCACGGGAACTTCTTCTATCGACATATTCTGCAATATGAACAAACTCTATGATTTTGGAACCAAACACGAATGTGATCTTTTTCCAATTTTGTTGGAGTGTTGTTCCTTAAATAATGTTCTTTTCAATGGTTTTGTATTGTTGTGTAGTAAAAATATTCTACTTTTTTATTCATACCTTAATTTGAACGTATTAAAGTTTATTAAGAGTAGTCCCATGTTAAGTTGAGGATAAAACTAAAAATGTATTATATCAAAAATAATAATAATAATAAAAAATAAAAAATAAAAAAAATAAAAATAATTCCAAGTATTAATCAAAACATAAGCTAATGAATAATTCAAAATTAATTTCCAGCCATTAATGTAAGTTAATTAAATCTATGCAATATATGAAATAATTTATAATAATTCATTCAAATTATTTTAGAAAATTAAAATCAATCAATTAAATTTATTTATTTCTTATTAAATATTTAATAATTCATTTCAATATTAAAATCGATCAATAATTAAAAAAGAATTGGGTATCAATTAGTTAGTGCAAATTTATTTAACATAATTACCGATTTAGAATGTGAACTTATTTAAATTAATATGGGATAAAATTGCACATTTAGTCTCTATCATTATTATTAATAATAATAATAATAATAATAATAATAATAACTAATTAATAAAAAAATATTAATTTTATACTGACGCCATCTCAAGTCAATTCCAGTGTTTATTATAGTATATCATAAGATAGTTATTTACGACCCAAATATCAATAATTTGATCTTTTTAATGTTTATTTGTTGTAGTCGAATCTGAAAGAGATAATCCATCGACATCATATTCCAACAAAATCCTTAATTGTGGCTCCAACGTTCTCGTAATTGTTTTCTCTAAAATGCTTATATTGTTGGATTGAAAACGAGCGGTAAAGTCTTGATTTTCCTTCTCCAACGACTTCACTCGGTGCATATATTTCTCTAGATTCATCTTCCGGTGTCGATAAGAAAGCGATAGAGAATCTCTTCATAATATTTTTCCTTAAAACAACTCTATGTACGGCAGATCTCAGCCTCCTGTTGCTCCAAGCCTCCATATAATCTCCAATGTTCACTATAAGATTACCGTCCTCGCTAGGCCTTACGTCGATCCAGTTGCCTCCTTTAGATCTCATTTGTAACCCCCTGATGTCATTTGGGAACACTATCGTCACAAAGCTGAGGTCGGTGTGCTTCTGGAACACTTCGACTTCTTCTTCATCATTCATGCCTAGAGGAGTGTAGTCGTTTATTCTTAGGTAGCTATTGCAGTTGCTAAACTCGAGATCATAGAATTTATTTTCAATACTAACTCCCAAGATCTTCAGTAACAGCTTCACTACTTTTTTCGATACTTCTGTCATTTTGCTTCCATATTCGTCTAGAAGATTGCTGCAAATAAACTCGAACATACAAACTCAAAATAAAGAAGAAGATGATGAATATGGTTGATTGTATAATTCTTTCATGAATATATCGGAACACAACATTCAAAAGTTGTAGTTCTACTGGAGATAAATTTAAGAAAGATGACCTGAATTCAGTAGCTTGGTGGCCGAATTAGGATTGAGTGAAACCTTGCACACGAGCAAAGACTGAAAACTTGGGTCCTGAAAGCTTGAAGCTCTCCAAAAAAGGCGAGACCACAAATCTTGGGGTGTATGAGGAAACTCTTTGTTTTAGCTTTTGCTTGGTCTCCTCGGGAGAAGAAAAAAGCTGGTCAATGCCGGAAATGAGTTTATAGTAAAACTCTTTCGAAATGCCATGGTTTTTTATGAAGAAAAATTCCAATTCAGTGCACGCTTTGGATAGAGAAGATGCAGTCGATTCGGTCAAGCTCTGGGAGCTAATGTCTATCTCGGGAACTTCCTCTATCGACATATTGTGCTATACTTACAAATCCTATGATTTTGGAACCAAACAAGAACATGATATTTTTCAATTTGGTTGGGTTATTGTTCCTTAAATAATGTCAGTTACATACACCATTATGTCTTAATTCTACTTTCTTGTCTTACCTCTTTGATGGGTTAAGTTTAAATATGACATTTATACTTTCTTTTATTAGATGTCAATTTATTTTGAGGGACCGTTTCAAATAGGGCTAAGAATCTTCATTTAAACGGGAATGAAAAAGTTAGTGTGAAGAGATTTCTTCTCGTTAAATAAATGGGGCCCGAAACAGGAATTATATTCCTCGTCCTCTTTCTCATCTCCACCTAATTCTCTCGTCTCCGTCCCCACCTAATTTTTCTTATATTAGTTTTGTCTTACCATTACATTTACATGACTTTATACGAGTTCGAATGGGTCATTCTACTTTATTTGGCCAATAAGGCTCGAATGGAGATCTTATAATTGACCCATTGAAAAAGAAGTTGACATGGTTGATATAGGCACTGACTTTCAATTCTTTTAAATATTTCTTAGTCATTTTATCCTTAGGATCGCTCTCATTCAAATATAGTCTCGGACCATTTATGTAATACGTACCTTTTTCTATACCCATTATAAAAAAAATATTGAATTTGTTCGGGACTAATTAAAAGTTTATAGACTTATTAAATATAAAAATAAAAAATAAAGATGGATTAAATAATTTATTTAGGTTAGTGACTTATCAGAAACTATAGAATACAAAATTGAAGGATAAAAGCTATTGACAATTTCTAAAAATAGGGATCAACGGCTAAAAGCAGGAGGTCGAGGAAATTGAATTTGAGTTGCAAGGAGTGATTTTGAACCAAAAAATTGAGGATTTAATCTCTAAAATTCTAGGTCGTTTTTGTAGGACATAAACCTCGTACCCGTTCATACCAGTTCATAGTGGCCGGTGGATTGAAGAGGGTCGTTACGATTTAGAAAAAGTAAAGAAAACTAATTAATCGAAGATATTAACTTTATATTGGTGTCATCACAAGTCAATTCGAGTGTATATTTCAGTACATTATAAGATAGTTATTTACGAACCAAATACCGATAATTTAATATTTTTAATGTTTATTTGTTGTAGTCGGATCGAAAGAGATAATCGAACAATATTATATTCCAACGAAATCCTTAATTGTTTCTCCAATTTTCTCAAATCCTTATATTGTTGGGTTGAAAATGGGCGATAAAGCCTTGATTTCCCTTCTCCAACAACCTCACTCGGGGCGTGTATTTCTCTAGATTCATCTTCAGGTGTCGATGTGTAAACGATAGAGAATCTTTTCATATTATTTTTCCTCAAAACGACTCTATGTATGGCAGATCTCAGCCTCCCATTGCTCCAAGCCTCTAATACATCTCCAATGTTCACCACAAGAACACTGTCCTCGCTTGGCCTTACGTCGATCCAGTCACCTCCTTTCAATCTCATTTGTAGCCCACTGATGTCATTTGAGAACACTACTGTCACGTTGCTGATGTCTGTGTGCTTCTTGAACACTTCAACTTCTTCGTCGTCATTCATGCCAAGAGGAGTGTAGCTGTTTATTCTTAGGTAGCCGTTGCAGTTGCTAAACTCGGAATCATAGAATTTATTTTCAATATTATCTCCCAAGATGTTTAGTACTTACAAACCATATGATTTCGAAACCAAACGAGAATATGATTTGTTCTATAAAAAAAACAATTCCAAGTTATTTATAGAAAAATAAGTTAATGAAAGTCATTAATGCAAGTTAAATAATTCTCAGTAATAAATGAAACAATTTATTATAATTAATACAAAAACTATTTATTTATCTATTATTGAATAACTTTAATAAACAGTTTATTGCATTATTTAATATATTTTATTATTGAAAAAGAATTACGTATACATTTCAATCTTTCAATTAGTTAGTGCAAATTTATTTAATATAATTACCAATTAATTAGAATGTGGACTTATTTAAATTAAATATGGGATAAAATTGCACTTAGTCTCTATAATTAATAATAAAAAAAGTAAAAAATAAACTAATTAATTAAAAATATTAATTTTATACCGATGTCATCACATATCAATTCCAGTGTATATTCTAGTACATCGTAAGATAATTATTTACGACCCAAATATCGATAATTTAATATTTTTAATATTTTTTTGTTGTAGTCGAATCGGAAGAAATAATCCAACGACATCATATTCCAACAAAATCCTTAATCGTGGCTCCAACTTTCTCGTAATTGTTTTCCCTAAAATGCTTATATTGTTGGACTGAAAACGAGCGGTAAAGTCTTGATTTCCCTTCTCCAACGACTTCACTCGGTGCATATATTTCTCTAGATTCATCTTCCGGTGTTGATAAGAAAGCGATAGAGAATCTCTTCATAATATTTTTCCTTAAAACAACTCTATGTACGGCAGATCTCAGCCTCCCGTTGCTCCAAGCCTCCATATAATCTCCAATGTTCACCACAAGAATACCATCCTCGCTCAGCCTTACGTCGATCCAGTCGCCTCCTTTCGATCTCATTTGTAGCCCCCTGATGTCATTTTGGAACACTATCGTTACGTAGCTGAGGTCGGTGTGTTTCTTGAACACTTCAATTTCTTCTTCGGCATTCATGTCTAGAGGAGTGAAGCCGTTTATTCTTAGGTAGCCATTGCAGTTGCTAAACTCGGGATCATAGAATTTATTTTCAATATTATCTCCCAAGACGTTTAGTAATAGCTTCACTACTCTTTTTGATACTTCTTTCATTTTTCTTCCATATTCGTCTAGAAGATTGCTGCAAATAAACTCGAACATACAAACACAAATTAGTGTCTAAATAAAGTAGATAATGATAGAACAATCATATAAAATAAAGCTCATTGGGCAGATTTTAATAGCGATGAAAGCAAACATTTCTAAGTAGAAGACAACCTGAATTCAGTAGCATGGTGGCCGAATAGGGATTGAGTGAAACCTTGCGCAGCAGCAGAGGCTGAGAAGTTAGGTCCCGAAACCCTGAAGCTCTCAAAGAAAGGCGACACCAAAAATCTCGGGGTGTACGAGGAAACTCCCATTTTCAGTTGTTGCTTGGTCTCCTCGGGAGAAGAAAAAAGCTCATCAGCGCCAGAGATGAGTTTCTCGTAAAACTCCTTTGAAACGCCATGGTTTCTGATGAAGAAGAACCCCAATTTGTTGCATGCTCTAAGTAGAGAAGATGAAGTCGATTCAGTCAAGCTCTGACAACCAAGGTCTATCACTGGAACTTCTTTTATCGACATATTCTGCAATATGAACAAACTCTACTATTTTGGAACCAAACACAAATGTAATCTTTTTCCAATTTTGTTGGAGTGTTGTTCCTTAAATAATGTTCTTTTCCATGGTTATTGTATAGTAAAATATTCTACTCTTTTATTCCTACTTTAATTTGAGCGTATTAAAAATTATTAAGAGTAACCCCACGAATAAAAAGAGTATTAATTAAAAAATAAGCTAAGGAATAATTCAAAATTAATTTGATAATTAAATCTATGCAATATATGAAATAATTTATAATAATTCATTCAAATTATTTTAGAAAATTAAAATCAATCAATTAAATTTATTTATTTCTTATTAAATATTTAATAATTTCAATGAATAAGTGTTTGCATGATTAATATATTTTATCATCGAAAATAGGTATAATTTTAATTATCAATTAATTACGGCTAAATTATTTATCATAAATACCAATTAATTGGAATGTGTAATTATTTGAATTGAATGAGTTCAAAATGGTATATTTAATTAGTTCATCGCTAAATTTAAAAATAATTTAATAGATTTTTTAACTTAATTTTTTAATTTTAAAAATGTTTAATAATTTTTTTAATTTTTTAATTTTTATTTAATAAGTCCATGACACAATTCAATTTTTAAAAAAAATTAATTGATCTATACAATATAAAATTAAATTTTATATTTAAAAATGATACAAAAATTTAAATTTTAGAGATTTATTCAAATTAATAAATTTATTAAAACTATATACCTAATTCATTTACAATAATAAAATATATTAAAGAATGTAATTAAGTGGTTATTAAAATTATAAATTATTTAATAATAGATAAATATAATAGTTTGTATTAATTATAAAAAATTATTTTATTTTATCTACTAAAAATTACTCAACTTACTTATTTTTTTATTTAAATTACTTGGAATTACTTTTGAATTAATTTTATTTTAGTGTGGGGGTATAGAAAAGAAATAGATATCAACAACTTTGACAACTAAATTTCATTAATTAATCATAATTATAATTCTTTTTAAATAATGCTTTTAAGATTAGTTTCAATATTCCATCATTTATTCTTTTAAATATAATTATTTTAACATCCAGTTGAATTAAAAAAAAAATTATTTTATAAATTTATTATAAAAAAGTATGTTATTCCTATTCTTTTAAAAATTTCATTAATACCCTTAACATTAAAAATAATAATAATAATATTAAGATTGAGTTTTTAAAAATATATTTACGGTTGGTACACATTTAAAAATGCTCATAAATTTTTAAAACTAATATTAAAATGTTTGTAAAGAGGGTAGATAAATGGTTTTCATTCCTATATTCATAATAGGAATTTTTAAAAGTTTTATTTAAAAAGTTTATAGGTATTTTTCAAGCACGGTATATACGATTTTTTTAATTTTTAAAAAATATTAATGAAACTTTTAGAAGTTGGGAGGAAAAGACTTGAAATAGAAGCGAACTTGAACAGGAACAGACGCCAAGCTAATATGTCGATAGGGGAAGTTTTGGTGATAGACATTATCTCTAAGAGCTTGAGCGAATCTAATGCAACTTCTCTACGTAGAGCGTGCATGCAATGAATTGAGATTCTTCTTCATCAGAAACCATGGCGTTTCGATAGAGTTTTACCATAAACTCATTTCTGGCGCCGACCAACTTTTTTTTTTTCTCCGGAGGAGACCAAGCAGAAACTGAAATTGGAAATTTCCTCGTACACCCCGAAATTTGTGTTGTCACCTTCCTCAGAGAGCTTCAAGGTTTCAGGACCCAACTTCTCAACCTCGGCTGTTGCGTAGGATTTCACTCAATCCCGGTTCCTCCTTCTTCCAAGTTTTCTAATAACCACCGAATACAAATTCAAAATATTTATTTATTTTTCTCACATATTTGACGATACGTATACCTACTCCTAATATGCATGTCATCTCGTTTATAGGCAAAATTATTCGAAAAAGTTTATGCATTATGGGTGTTATACAGTCGGATCTATGATTGAGAAACTAAAAATCATGGTTTCACCTCACATCGTACTGTTTAGAGAATGAAGATCACATCGATTATAAATTTGAAAATATATTTTTTGATTCTGTGTCTAATAATCAACCATTTTCATCATCTTCTTTATTTGGAGTTTGTATGTTCGAGTTTATTTGCAGCAATCGTCTAAACGAATATGCAAGCAACATGAAAGAGGTATCAAAAAGAGTAGTGAAGATACTACTAAACCTTCTCAGAGATAACATTGAAAGCAAATTTTATGAACCCGAGTTCAGTAAATGCAATGGCTACATAAGGATAAACGGCTGCTCTCCTCGAGATATGAACGATGAAGAAGAAGTCGAAGTGTTCAAGAAGCACACTAACACCAGCTACATGACGATCCTATTCCAAAACAGTGTCGGGGGGTCTACAAATGAGATCGAAAGGAGTCAACTGGATCGACGTAATGCCGAGCAAGGACGGTGATCTTGTGGTGAACGTTCAAGATTCTATGGAGGGTTGGAGTAATGGGAGACTAAGATCGACCGTACATAGAGTTGTTTTGAGGAAAAATAATGAGAAGAGATTCTCTTGGACTTTCTTTTTGATTGTTGGAGAAGGGAAATCAAGGCTTTATCACCCATTTTCAACCCGACAATACCGCCTTTGTAAGAAAAAAAATTATGAGAAAATTGGAACAACCATTAAGGATTAAGTTGGAATATAATATATCTTCTGTATCTAGGACGATCCAATTACAATAAAAGTTAAAAATATTAAATAGTGGTTAGTTTGAGATGATAATAAATATTTAATTAGGTAATTTTTGGAAGAAAATAAATATTTTATTATTATTGAAAGAAAAAGAAAAATGTAGCTACAACAAAATTTGAATGCTGAAATCATTTGAGCGTACATTTGGAAACGAAGTCTGTGAGCTGATTAATGAGCAGAGCACTGTGAGGCAATTCAGGAAACAAATCCACTTTCTTTCCACTTTCCTTCAGCCATTCATAATATTTCCTGCTGCCAATCCTTCAATGGATCGAATCCTCCCACGAACACAACCGTCGCCGGAAAATCCCCCAATTCCGAAATCTCCTCTGCCTTCGCCCCGCTCACGTTCGAAGCAGAGTGGTCTCGATCCGATCCTTCCGGCAGAAATGCCCTCCACAGCCAATCCGTCCTCGCCACCGAAATCGGACGGCTACTTGGTGGGCGAGATTGGCGCCGGTGCTGTCACCGGCGAGGAAACATTTGGAGAGATCGGCGGTTGGAGGGAGGAGGCCGACGGTGTTGTTTTCGTGGTCGAGGAATTGCAGGACGTCGAAGCCGTCGTCGTATTGGGAAGGGAAGCGGTGTTCAGGAGAGAGGCGGTAGTTGACGGAGAGGACGACTGCGGGTATGCGGCGGGCGAAGCGGCGGCAGAGGGTGACGTAGGAGAAAGAGGCGTTGCTGAGAAAGGAGAAGCCGCCGCCGTGAAAGAAGATGAGGATGGGAAGAGAGGTGGCGTTGGAGGAAGGGGTAAAGACGCGGATGGAGGGGTTGCGTGAGGAATCGACAATGACGTCGAAGAAGAGGACGCCGTGGATGGGCTTGACCAGATTGGGAGCGGATTTGATATCGAAGAGGCGTAGGAGGCGACGGTTGACAGTGCCATTGGGGCGAGCGGCGAGGTCGAAGCAGATGGAGGAGAAGGAAGCAAGGAGGCGGGTTTTCAATCAGAGAGAGGGGGATTTGGCAATGGCGGCCGTGGAGGGCGGAGGAGGAGGATTTCAGGAGGGGATAGCCATGGGGGGATTGACTGAATTAGCAGGGGAAATCAATGAGAGAAGGATGGGAGATAAGGAAGATGAGCGCCTGGTCCGCCATGGCTGATGAGCTGTGTGAGCTTTTTTTCTTTCATTTATTGCTTTTCTTTTTACATCTAACATTTTTCAGACTCCAACCCTAACCCTATTTTTGTTTCAGACTTCGGGTTGGCGTCCAAATCGAGTTCCAACTATAGTTCATGCGTCCGACTCCAGAAAAAAGAACTTCACCACATTGACTGTTCGATGATAAGTTCGCATTTTTTACACGCTCGATTATCCTTGATGTCTGATTGATTTATGTATGCCACTACTCGTAGACCTCATCATCGAATATTGTACTAAGATTAGAGGATAATCGGATCATTCACCTTGCCTAATGCGCATTGTTGACGTTGAAAGGAGGGTTGGGAGATGATTGCTTAAGCAAAGGGAAGTGGAAAATATAAGGATGAGCTGAAATTAATGGATAGCTTTCTTGTTTTGTTGGTGAAGTTCCTAGGTTGTTCTTTGGCCCTTGGTTACCATACTCTACACCTACCAACTAATGCATTGTTCCTTTCTACTTCTCATAACATTATTGCCCTCAAACATTAAGGTCAATCGTGTCAGTTGATCGTATAAAACACTTCCTAATCCAAAGGTTTCCTACTCTTCTTTTCTCCATCATTCGATACATGGATGCTACCATTCGTAATCGTAAGCATACCTTCAATCACATGACTTTGAATACGGATAGAACCCAAATGTATAGAAATCTAAAAGATAATGAAGTTACAATACAACTCCCAAGCGTACAAAGTATTTGAACCTTCCCTTCTTGAGCCCTTATTCTTCCAAACTTCCTCCTACGAAGCATTCTTTATAGGGGTGTGGAAACCTCTCCCTATCAGACACATTTTAAAACCGTGAGACTACGTAACGAGCCAAGGTGAACAATATTTGTTGGCGGTAGGCTTGAGCAGTTACAAATGATATCAAAGCTAGGTCGTGCCAGTGAGGACACTGGCACTTAAGGGGTGGATTGTGATATCTTGTTGGAGAGGAGAACAAAGCATTTCTTATAGAGATGTGAAAACTTCTACCACGCATTTTAAAATTGTAAGGCTGACAGCAATACGTAACGGTCCAAAGCGAACAGTTAAACTTGGACTGTTACAGCCTAACTTCCTCTCCAAGTCCAAATGTATTGAATACCGATAGAACCCAAATGTATTGATATCTCAAGTCCTCA